ATGTGGACGAGTGCACGGAGGGCACAATCCAATGTGGCTCCAGCCAGATGTGCTTCAACACGCGTGGAGGTGCCCGGTGCCTGGACGTGCCGTGCCCAGCTGGGTACCGCAGGGGCTCCAGCCCGGGGTGAGTCGTGCTGCGGGGCTGGCAGTGCCCATCCCGCTGTCCCCATCTCACCACGACCCCGCGTGTCCTGTCCACTCTGCGGCACCCACCACACCCCCACTCTGCCCATCTCTCACGCAGGCTGTGCGTGGGTCGCTGCCCCCCGTTCTGCAGCCCGGCCGGCCCCCCCACGCTGCAGTACCAGCTGCTCCCCCTGCCCCTCGGCATCGCTGCCCGCCGGGACGTGGTGCACCTCACCCCGGCCACCTCCCTGCGCCACCGGCCCGTCTTCAGGCTGCTGGAGCAGGACCCCGACGGCCCCTTCGCCCTCCGCAGCGAGCAGGGCCAGGGCATCATCTCCACCCTGCGGCCGCTGCGGGAGCCCGGCACTCACCGGCTCAAGGTGCAGGCGCTGGTCCCAGACGGGCAGCGAGCACCCAGCATCTTCCTCCTCCTCATCTCTGTCTCGCCCTACCCTTACTGACACAGCCCAGGGACAGGAGGGGACGCAGGGTCATTTCTCCTCCTGTCCCTCCCCACCCCATCGGTGGGGCACGTGGCTCAGGGAACGCTGAGTTTGTACCTCTTGTGTCCCTCCCAGACACCCCTTCTCCTCTCAGCTGTGTTCCTTTCACCCAGGGCCGGGCCCTGACTCAGCAGGAGAGTCAGGATCCCGAGGGGGATAAGATGTCCCAGCAATCTCCTGCAATCAGGTCCCAAATCCCAGAACAAACACAGCTTTGGATGGCCTTGGCCGCTATCAGTCCCCAGATGTGGGGGTGGGAAGATGAACTGGGTGACAGTGGCCAGCAAGGGTCCCACCAGGGTGCAGGGAGGGATTTCCTGGGCTGGGGAGGGTGTGGGGCACCCCAGCATTAACCATTATTAAATTGAAATAGTCTTTTTGTTTGATTGTTTGTTTTTTAATCCACTTGGTCTCTGTGCACTCTTACTGATTTATGAAGGTGTTTTGTGGCTAAATATTAGCTGTGCCTGAAGAAGGCAGCTTCCTTCAGTGTGTGGGAGAATGCCCAGGGCTTGGACACCTCCCTGCCTGGCCTTGGACCATAGAAGGGAGGATGTCTGGATGTAGCAATGCCAGAAGGGCAATGTCCAGCCCCTGAAGGTCCAATCCTGCCCCAGGGCTGAGCCCCTCAAGCAGCAAGAGCAGGACGTAACCTCCCTGCACATGGTGAAGATGGAGGCTGTTCCCAAAACACTGTGTCAGTCCTAGCTGATGGTGTGGGATGTGGGCTGCTGGCCCCAGGAGACACAAGCCCACAGCCACCAGGGCTGGCCCACAGAGGCTGATGGTGGCCGTGCACCTTGCATGGTCAGATCCTGTCACTGGAGCTGGCATTTGCTGCACCTGTCTGAGATTCCCCTAAAAATCTCTGTCCTTTGGGCTGGAGCTTTCCTGTGCTCCAGAACCAGGGGTGCTCTGGGTATGTGCAAGGGGGAAAGGTGAGTTTGGCCCCTGCCCTGTCCCCCCGCTGCCCACCCTGGCTCCTGCATTGCCTCCTGATGGAAGTTCAAATAAATCCAACCTTCCCCCTCCTTGCTGGTCCGGGGAGGAAAGCCAGCTGCTGCACCAGCACCATCTCTCCTCTGCTCCCATTTTCCCACTCCTCGGGGGCAGGTGGCTCCGTGGAGTCCCCCAGGGGGGATGACACCTCTGTGGAGGTTGCTGAGGAGGTCAGGAGCGGGGGAAGAGCTATGGCAGCACCCAGAGCAGCCATGCAGGGCTTGGGGCTGGGCACTGGTTCCCTCCCGGCCCGGGGGCAGCTTCTCCCCGTGTTCTGCGGGGCAGGAGGAGCGCAGGGCTCTCCCGGGGACGGTGCCCGAGGGGGGACTGTCCTGCGGCGGCTCCGCCTGCCTGCGCCCGGTATAAAGGAGCAGCAGGAGGGGGAGGATGCTCCAGGCACCGGACCAGAGCACCGAGGGCAGCCGGACACCGGGAGTGCGTGAGTGTGGGCACAGTGTAGAGGGAGAGGGGAAAGGGGGGTCTTTGCCTTGGGGGATGTCCCCTCATCCTGTCTGTCCCATTTCCACCCACCCAAGGGTGTCTCCCACCCCTGGGTGCTGGGGCAGGGCAGGGGGTGCCAGCTCCTTCCCAGCGCGGTGCAGACTGCAGTCAAGACCTTCCCAGCTCAGTTTGGGATGGGCGGGGAGTTCCCAAGTGAGTCCCACTTCCCCGAGGGTCCCCTTGGCCACCTCAGGGAGGGGAACTGAGACCTCAGCCGGTACCTCCTTGTGCCCTCTCTGCTCTGGGGGTTTTGGGGGGCAAGATGGGGCCTCCACGGGGTGGAGGGGTGATGCTGAAGAAAACCCCAGCAGCACTGAGCACATGCCTCTGCTGCTGGAAAGGCTGTTCCTGTCCCTCCTTCCTGTCTTTGCCCCTGTCCTTGCCCCTCCTGCCTGTCCCTGCCTCTCCTGCCTGCTCCATCCCAGCCCTCAAGCAGCAGCCCGGCTGGTGAAAACAGTTCCTCTCTTCACCAAAGTTTCAGGCTTTTTATTCTCCTCCCTCTCTTTATTTATTTCTTGGTTTTAAAACCGAAAGCACGGCGTTCCTTTGGCGCAGGGCAGCCCCAGCCTCTCCAGCAAAACTCTCCCTGCCCCAACTCACACGGAAATCGCTACGGAATAATAATAATAAGGGCTGAGAAAGCCCCGTCGCGTTCCCCTTCACCGAGCTTTGTTTGCTCTGATTTATTGCCACGGAGCGCTGAAACTTCGGGGCTCTCCCTTCCTGGGCAGGCAGATTTGGCAGGAGCCGTGTTCCCAGAGCTGGGAACGCTGCTGCTCCCACCCCCTTTCTGGGATGCAGGATGCGTCTCCAGGACAAAGTGCCCGCGGGCCCCTTGAGCATTGCGACATTGGGACGCGTCTGAACAGGCAGAAGTTGGAGAGGTTTCCTTATCGCCCTGCTGGGCCACTTGTAGAGCCAGTGTGCCTGCTCTCGGAGGTGCTTACTCAGGCTGGCAACCACAACAGCGATGCTGGTGGCCACAGGGGGGATGAGCTGGGTTGGGCTGGGCCGTTTTGGGAACTGCGAGCGCCTTCCTGTAAATGCCCCGGTGAGGAAGGGACGGCTGGACCTCGCTGGGTCGGGACCCAGCTTGGCACAGCCACGGGCAACGAGCAGGGAAATGCTGCTTGCACAAGCCTGGGCACCGGCTGCTGCCTGCGTGGCAGCCCGACGGGCACGGGCAGGCTCGGGGAGCCGGAGGGAAGGGAATGGGGCTGCCAGACCCCTTTGTTCCTCAGCACGAACCCGGCAGAGGCAGGGCAGAGCTGCCTGTGGCTGGCTCCAAGCCTCACCCCGTGGGATGCTGGCTCTGCAGCACCGGGGAGCGCAGCCCGGCATTACCGCATCCCGCCGGGAGAGCGGCTGGGTGGGCCAGCCCGGAGCGGCGGGCACGGCGCCCTCCCGGCCTGCAGGAGCAGGATTGTGCTGACTTGGCAGCAGCAGTGTGGAAGCTGCTCAGGACAGGGCTTGGCCGGCTCCCCATCCGCCTCTCCCGGCCAAGGGTCAGCTGGCATCGCCTCTTCGTGGGGCCCTGGGATTCACAGCCTGGCCTGGGGACTGCAGGGACAGACTGGAGGAGCCCCTTCCTGCCCGGGACTCCCAATCCTCCCCTGAGATCCAGGCTGCTGCGCCCTTCACTGTTTCCTGTTGTTGGCTGAATTCCTCGATCTCCCTGGCTGGAGGGTGAGGGGTGCTGAATCCCCATGTAGGTGTTTGGTGCTGGCAGAAAACACTGCAGCACAATTAGAACAAATGCCCTGTGAGCATTAATTAGACTTGGGGCTGGGCTGGATTCTGGGGGATGCTGCCAAGCCCCCTCAGCCCTGCAGCCATTGCTGTCCTGATGGGCACAGGGGGCTGAGACTGTGGCAGCTCTGCAGAGGGCAGGACGTGCTGGGCTGTGCCAGAGCAAGGCACTGAGCTGTGCCTCTACCACAGCACCTGAGCCCTGACTCCTCAGCACTGCAGGATACGTGCAGAGCGTGGGGCAGGCTGTTCTGGGGCTGCCATCATGGAGAAAAGGTAAGAGCAAAACCACCCTTGTGGCTGCCCTGGCCTCCTCTGTTGTCCAGCCACCTCAGGGTGCACAGGCAGGGTGTCCTCACTGGCTGACGGCCACAACCTGGCCATGGCCACAGTGCTGTGTCTTTTCCTCTTGCCCCCAGCCCTGCCCTGGCTCCCTGCAGCCTGGGGGGCTCTTTCTTCAGCTGACCCTTCCTGATGCCGTGGCTGATGGCTGCAGTAAGGGCAGGGGCTTCATGACCCCCTTTTCCTTTGCTTTGGCAGCACCATGGCTCAGTCCAAGGGCACAGTGGTCCTGGCCTACAGCGGGGGGCTTGACACATCCTGCATCCTGGTGTGGCTGAAGGAGCAGGGCTACGATGTTGTTGCCTACCTGGTGAGCTCGGGGCTGTCCCCAGGGGCTGGGGGTGCAGGGGGTGCTGGGCCATTGGTCTGGGGGGGCTGGAGTGAGCAATGGGGGTCCAGGCACTGACCTGTGCCTCTACCACAGCACCTGAGCCCTGACTCCTCAGCACTGCAGGATACGTGCAGAGCGTGGGGCAGGCTGTTCTGGGGCTGCCATCATGGAGAAAAGGTAAGAGCAAAACCATGCTTGTAGCTGCCCTGGCCTCCTCTGTTGTCCAGCCACCTCAGGGTGCACAGGCAGGGTGTCCTCACTGGCTGACAGCCACAACCTGGCCATGCCCACAGTGCTGTGGCTTTTCCTCTTGCCCCCAGCCCTACCCTGGCTCCCTGCAGCCTGGGGGGGCTCTTTCTTCAGCTGACCCTTCCTGATGCCGTGGCTGATGGCTGCAGTAAGGGCAGGGGCTTCATGACCCCCTTTTCCTTTGCTTTGGCAGCACCATGGCTCAGTCCAAGGGCACAGTGGTCCTGGCCTACAGCGGGGGGCTTGACACATCCTGCATCCTGGTGTGGCTGAAGGAGCAGGGCTACGATGTTGTTGCCTACCTGGTGAGCTCGGGGCTGTCCCCAGGGGCTGGGGGTGCAGGGGGTGCTGGGCCATTGGTCTGGGGGGGCTGGAGTGAGCAATGGGGGTCCTGCAGGGTGTGTGTGTGCTGTGGTGGTGACCCTGCTCGCACTGGTTAACCATGGCCCAGCTCTCTGCTGCTCTGCTGATCTGCCAGCCCTGAGTGGCACAGCCTGTCCCTGCCAGCTAATGACCCTCTGCTAATGAAGGCAGGGAATCAGGGCAGAGCCAAGGGGCTTGGCAGAGGGGGGCATGGCACTGAAATATCCACCTCAGGGGGTGGAACTCCCCTCCTGCCCTTCCTGGGTGTCCTCAAGCCCAGGCACCACGGACTCTGTCACGCCATGCATGACAACCTGTGCCAAGCTGGGCTTGCTCTGAGTTTTGTGATCTTGTTTCACACCGAGTCTCTTTTTTTACTGCTTTCCAGGCCAACATTGGGCAGAAGGAAGATTTTGAGGCAGCACGAAAGAAAGCACTGGCACTGGGAGCCAAGAAGGTAACGGTGTCCCTCCCCTTGCTCCCCACCTTGGGGGTGAACCCTGGGCTCTCACTCACCCCAGAGAGGGGATTGTGCCAACGAGAAATCCCTTCTCCAGAGGATTTGCCCCAAAGCCTTTTAGCAGGTTTAGAAAAAGTGAGGCAAAAATATTTTCGCTGTGCTGTTCCTAGAACTGCAGGGTGGGTTTCCCCTGCAGCAGCCCTTCCATCAGGGTCCCTCTGCTGGCAGGTTTACATCGAGGACGTCAGCAGGGAGTTCGTGGAGAGGTTCATCTGGCCGGCAGTGCAGGCCAACGCGCTCTACGAGGATCGGTACCTGCTGGGCACGGCCCTGGCACGGCCCTGCATCGCCCGCGGGCTCGTGGGCATCGCCCAGCAAGAGCGAGCCCAGTACATCGCCCACGGGGCCACGGGCAAGGTGAGGGGGGACACGGGCACCGGGCAGGGATGGCTCGAGGTGCTTGGATGGGGGGGCTGCTCAGCCTGCAGGGCGAGCTCTGGGTGCCAGGAGGGGTGCACAGGGTGTTTTGTGGGGTCTGTGCAAAACTCAGCCGTGTTTCAACACTTCCTCCTCGCTTCTGGGATTTCTGTGCCCAATTTCGGTTCCGTCTCGCTGTTGGGAAGGTTGGAGTCGCACTGAACGCTCTGTGTCTGGCAAGAATTTCAAAATGCTGAGGCTTCCCGGGCCAGAAGCTGGCTGGGACTGAGCCAGCACAACCCGGCATGGTCCGGGGCGTCCTGCAAGAGCTGCGGCTGTCCCAGACTCTGTCCCCATTCCTGTCCCCGGTTCTGGCTCTCCCGGTCCCTGTTCCCATTCCTGTCCCTGTCCCGGCTCTCCCGGTCCCTCTCCCGGCTGTGCCGGTCCCTGTCCCCGTCCCCCCTGTCCCCGCTGGCCGCAGGGAGGACACTTTGCCGCTAGAGGCAGCCAGAGACCGTGGAAAAGGGATGCTCGGGGCCAGCCCGTTCCTGGAGAGGGGAAATCCCCCTCGGGGAGCATGGTGGGGGCGTGGGACCTGAGAGAGGTGACCGTGGGTCACCCCCGGCACCTCCAGCCGCTGCCCAGTCCGGGCGGGCACACCGGGGCCAGGTGAGGGGTCAGCGGGCGACCCAGGACCTGCCGGGTGCCTCCTCCTCCTCTCCCTCTCCCCACAGCCCGCGCCTTGGGCTAAGGCCAGGTGTCTCCCCGGGGGGATCGCAATGGGTTTGGGGGTCCCCACGGTGGGGACTCTGCTAGAAAGGGGATGTTAAATGCAGCCAGGAGCTGCCGAGGGACTTGCCAGCAGCCAGGAGATGGGGCAGAGGGGCGGCTGGGGGCACACAGGACCACAATTACTCTCTCTCCTGCTGCAGTCGGGTCCCTGCACGCCTTTCTGTCCATCCTATCCATCCCCAGCAAGCTTTTCTTGAGAAAGGTGCCCTGGAGCAGCACACCCCCGACGCCACGGTGTCCCCTCTGCTCCCGGGTGCCACCAGCCATCCCTGCTGGCAGGGGCACCCTCGGTGCCTGCACTCCCCAAGCCATTAAGCCGCGGGCACGGGCAGGGACTGGCTGCCGGTAACTCGACCCGGCTGCGGAGCTTTAAATGGGACCATCTGGGGTGTCCCCGCTGCCGAGCAGATGGACGAGCCCCGGGCCCGTGGGGGAAATGAGTGCTCGGCTGGATGTACTTGCTGTGTGTAATAGTCCTCTGGGAATGCCCAGCCCGGTGTAAATGTATCCCCCAGGCCCACGGCGGGGAAGTGGGGGTCCCTACGCCCCTTGGTGAGGGTGGAAAATAGGTTTTAGTGAGTGCTATTCCCTTGGAAGTGCTCGTAATTCCCAGCCTTGCTACTGCTCCTTGCCTCTTCCCAGATACCTGGGCTCATTAGTGGGATCTAATCAGCAAGGGACAATTAAGGTAAAGAGAAGTTTGGAGCTGTTTAATTACGAGTTTCTGCATCCCTCTGCTCACTGTGGTCTTACCCCCACCTTGCCCTCTTCCTTCTTTGTCCTTTGATGTCCTTGGGGGAAAAAATACCCAGATCTGGTTTGAGCACACAGCAATCAGGAGCTGCAAGAAAGGTGGCTTGGGGCTCCAACCAGCCATGGAAATGGAGCAGGAATGATGCCATGGATCCCAAGAGAATCCTTGCCCTCTGTGCCCAGGGTTTCCAACACCACCAGGGGAGCTGTGGCTGAAACCAAGCAGCTCCTCAGAGGCTGAGAGAGTGTGTGTGTGTGTGTTGTCACACCCTGGGCTGGGGTGACCCCTCAGCACCTCCCTTTCCTGTTTCAGGGCAATGACCAGGTTCGGTTTGAGCTCAGCTGCTATGCCCTGTGTCCCGAGATCAAGGTAAGGCACCCAAAAGCATCCCCTGCCTCCCCGCTGCCGAGCTCCTGGCCCCTCTGCAGCTGCTGGGAATTCTGTTTTAACACCGATGCAAACGGCCCTGCCTCACTTTAACAAGCCACCAGCTGCACGCAGCGACGTTTTGGCATTTCAGGGGGCTGTAATGATCCTTAATTGACCTATTTTTACCCCAAACACCACGAGGCCACAGAGGAGACAGTACCAAGGCAGCTGCTGGATAATCGATGCTGCCTGTTTCCCTTTGCATCCAGTGCCTGGTTAGGGCAGGGGTTTGGTTTACTCCCACCTTGTGCTGGGAGATTAAATTTCAGCTGGGGGAGCAACACCCTGTGGGTCTTGGCTCCCAGGGGCAGAGGGGGTTCTCATCTCATGCTCCTGCCCTCCTGCCAGGTTGTTGCACCGTGGAGGCTGCCCGAGTTTTACCAGCGCTTTCCTGGACGCCGTGAGCTGATGGATTATGCCAAGGTAGGAGCTGGTGTGGGGCAGCCACAAGATGCCCAGGGCAGCAAAAGGTGTGCACAGTGGCTATGGAAGCTCAGGGTACCCGTGGGGTTCTTGGAGTGACCATGGGATGCTCAGGGTCACCACAGGATGGTTGCCATGACCTGGCAGGTGACAGCAGCACACCCTGCACAACACCCCTGCAGAACCACTTAGGAGCCTCCTGGTCAGAGTTTCCCCCACCCCCCTTTCATCTATTTCTTTTTCTCCTTCCTTTCTAAAAGCCCCATAATTACCTGGCTATTAATTGTAACCCTCTTTCCAAGGAAACGGGTCTCAGCTCCCTGACTTGTGTAACAGACAAAGCAAATACATTCACCTTTGTTGTCCCTTCCTTTTTGAAGTACAAGTTACAATAAAACATATTAGAAGTTTTGCATCAGGTTTTTATGTGCCCACCAGGGTACCTTTCTTTTTTAGCGACTTCATGGAAATGCTTGACAACTCAGCTCAATCAATCAAGAGGGAAAAGTCAGCTCTGTGCATAAACCAGAAAATTGCTTCAGTTTTTAAATAGCTGCCACCAAAGCTGCCTGGGTAATCTGAGGGAAGGCGAGGTGTGGAGCTGGAGGGATGTGGCGTGGGGTGAGGAGCCCTCGGAGCCCATTAGGGCTGCCCGGAGAGCGCGGCGTGTTGAGGATTGTGTTTGCCATCTGCCGCTGTATTATGAAGGGGAGAGTTTACGAGAGCTTTCCATATGTTGCCAAACAAATTGTCAAATAGGGGAGTTATTAAGAGCGCCACGGTTTTATTATATGGAAAATGGAACATGTGTTTTTGGGTTGGGGGTTTTGTTTGGTTGTGGGGATTGTTTTGTTTGTTTGGGAAGCAGGGGAAAGGGAAATGAAATGGATTGGGGCCCCATTCCAACAGCAAAAGGTTGTGGGGTGAGGGTTTAAGTACTTTTCAGTCTTTGGTTATCTGTTACAAAAAAAAAGGTGGTTTCCCTTCTTTTTCTTTCTGAGGAGAGGGAGATGCATGGCCAGGTCCTTGGAGCACATGCATGTGCTCACCTTGGTGCTGGGGGAATTGGAAAAGGATGCTGTTTGGGGCTCCATTGATGCCAGGAAAAGTGAGGCTCTGTTTCACTGTGGCACAGCTCTTTCCATGGATTTGCTGCCCAGGGGCTGAAGCCAGCCTTGCTCTGGCAGCAAATCTGTGCCAGTGGCTGCTTCATTCTCACACACCTTAATGAGAAACAGCCAAACTCTCCTGGGTGCTGCTCCAGGATTAGCCTGGCCACAGACAGAGCCAGGTGAAGCTGAGAACAAAATCCCTCTTTGGTCCTGGCACCTCTGGCTCCAGCAAAGGCTGCCTAGGCTCCATAGATATTGGGTCTGGACTTGAAATGGGGTGAGGATGGGTTGGGGAGCACTGACTTCCCCAGCTGCCAGGAGGAGGCAGAGGCAGGAGAGGGCTGGCTGAGGGCATAAGCCAGCTCAGGTCTGGAAGATGGATTTGTACACCCCAAGTGAGATGGGTGTGCCAGTGGTGGGTCTCTTCTCACAAACACAAGATAGGGCAAGAGGAAATGGCCTTAAGTTGTGCCAGAGAAGATCTAGATTGGATAATGGGGGATCTCAGCAGGCACTATGCTGGAGTTATGGTGGGGAGCCAGCAAATCAGAACCCAGGAGCCTGAGGCCGTGTCCCTCCAGAAGCAGGGCTGAGTCAGTCCCTCTACAGCATTAGGAGATCTCAGAACCTTGTTCCCACCTCAGCTGATGGTTTGAGGGCTGTGGTGCAACGACCATGAGCATTTCCTTCCCTTGTTCCTGGCAAACAAGAAATGTTCACTCAGCCCTTGCTCCTCTGTCCCCAGCTGAGCCCTTCACTGAGTCCCTGCTGTGGTGACACTGAAATGCCAGAGCTGCCCAGCAGTGCTCGGGCTGTACAGACACACCAAGGCTCAGTGGGAGCTGCTGTCCCCATCCCTGTCTTGCCATGGCCATCCCACAGCCAGCACACTGTGACTCAGTGTCCTGGCAGGGTGGGTGACGTCCCCAGTGCTCCAGTTTCAGCCTGCTGCCGTCACCTCTCCCACTAATTCCCCCACGTATTCACCTCGTTTTCACAGGCAATTTCCCCCATTGAAATGTCAGTGGATAAATGGCACGCTGGTGACCTCGTTAGGGAGCCAGGCTCGGTGCTGCAGTCGTGCTGGCCAGGCAGCTGCTGTGGGGCCACACGTCCCTGAGCACGGCGTGCTCGAGGTGCCCGGGCTCAGAGGGACACTGAGCCTGCCTGGGGTGTGTCTGCTTCCCCATGTGTTTGCACGAGGCTGTGAGGATGTGCTGCTGTCCCCTCACGACAGGGCATTTGTCCTCTTTAGGCTCTAGAGCATCCTGTGGGTTTGGGGACTCGGATCCCGGTGTCACCTCCCCTTGCTGAGAAGCCTGGCTGGGGGAATCATAGAATCATGGAACACCTTGAGTTGCAAGGGACCCACAGGGTGACCAAGTTCAGCTCCTGGCCCTGCAAAGAGCACCCCAACAATCCCACCACATACCTGAGAGCATTGCACTATCCTCCCCTGGAGCTAGGAAAAGCAGACATTATCTGTGCTGGTGTCCCATCTCTGGGGTTCACGGGGTGCTCTGGGGCCTCTTCTGAGCCTGTGGCAGGGCTGGGATGGCCATTCTCCCCCCACCGACACACTGTGTCCCTGATGTCCCTGTTGAGGTGGCCCTTGTGGTGGCAGCTGATGTTGGTCAGGGTCATGGGAGTGCACCTTGCTCTGTGCTGCCCTGCTTGTGCCATGGGTTGTGCTTTTGGGGCTGACCCTGCTGGGAACCAGCATCAATGAGGGCTGGCTTTCCCTGCAGGCTGGCTTACCCCCACTCTCTCTTGACAGAAACATGGGATCCCAGTTCCTGTGACACCTCAGACACCCTGGAGCATGGATGAGAACCTAATGCACATCAGGTGAGCAGCTGGGCAGGTGGGGAGCTCCTGTGAGGTGAACACCTGGGATCTGGAGTCCCAGTCCCCTCCAGCCTACGTGTCCAGCACAGCCCCTTGCACATCCATTGTCCCAGGCTGCCCCACCAAATCCTTCATCCTCCCTTTCTTTCCAGTTGTCCACATTCCAAGTGGCAGCATTCACCTCCTGGAATCTCCTAAGCCTGGCTCTCCTTTCAGAGCTGCTGCTAAAACGCTCTGGCAATCCATAACGTGCACTTATGTCCATCCCCATGGGGTGGGTGGGAGCGGGGGTCTCATCCTGGTGAGTTTTGGGGTTGCAAGTTGCAGGTGCTGCAGTGACTTCTCTCTCCTTCCCTGCCTGCTGCAGCTACGAAGCCGGGATCCTGGAGAACCCCAAGGTAATCGATCACGGCAGCCACGGCGCCGGGGGCGTCTCGTGTATTCGCAGCCTAATTGGAAATTTCACGGCGGGGCCGTCCGTGTGTGCGGGGAGGCTCCGCCGCCGCCCCCGGCACGTTAATTGTCGTGTTAATTGAATAGCGGAAGGGACCGTCTCGGGGTGACACCGGAGGGGACAGTGTCGCGGGCAGCGTTAAAGGAGCAATGAGGCAGACGCGGTGCTGGTGACAGAGCTGGTGGCGGGTGGCAGAGGTTCAGGGGTCCCCTGCAGCTCGCCCAGCCCTCCTTGCTTTGCCAGCCCGCTCTCCATGGGGGTGTGGGGTAAAACCTCCCGTTGGATGGGTGGAGACCCTGTGGGCACCCATGGGGCCGCCAGCTCTGGCTGCCAACAGGGACCTGGGGCAGAGCGCTGCCGGTGACAGTGCCACATCTCCGGCCACTGCGAGCCGTGCCCGTGGTCCTGGGGCGCTGCCTGCGCCGTTCACGCTCCAGCGGGTCACCGGCCCGGCCGCTATTTAAACTATCTATTTAAACTATCTATTTAAACTATCCATCAGGCCTAATTAGACAGCCCGGCGAGAGGGGGGGAAGGCAGGCAGAGCGAGCGGAGCCGCTGGCGCTCCGTGCCCGCAGCCGGCTCCGCAGCGGGGCTGACGCGTGCCTGCGGCGGGGAAGGGAGGAAGAGGAAGGTGAAGGCGGAGAGGGGGTCCCGCTCCTCCCGCTCCTCCTCTGCTGCCCTCCAGAGGGGTGTCTGTGGGTCAGGCTCTGCAGAGCCGGGTTCCTGTGGGGTCTCTTCCTCGCGGGGAGTGGTTGGCACAGGGACGGGGCTCACGGCTGTGGCTGAAGGTGGCACGGGCCTGACCCGCGCCCATCCCGAGCCAGCCTGCCGCAGCCAGCGCCTCTCCGCTCCTCCCGCACCCCCCAGGCTCTGCCAAGCCCGTTCCCTTCCCAAACCCCGCTTGGAAAACGGGGCTGAGCAGTGCCCTGACCCCATTCCCGAGCATCCCCTGCTCGGGCACCTCACCCCATGACAGTGCTGGACGTGGCTTCCTGGAGCGCGGTGTCACCGCTGTCACTGTCACCGCTGTCACTGTCACCGTTGTCCCCTTCCCGGCCCGGGAAACGCTGCTGGGCACAAGGTGGCCCTGGCAAGATCCGGGGTGCCGGGCACGGTGGGCTCCCCTCCCCAAACCCCCGGGACCTGCCAAACGCAGGGATTTGAAAGCAGATGGTTGAGCTATTTTCTGCCTCTGTGAGGCCCGATTGAAGGGCAATGAGGCAGCTAATGTGGAGAAAGATAGAAATTTACTTGCTTTAACTTCATATGGCACTCTGAAAGAGTTCATTCAGTCCCGGGCACAACAATATCAGCCGGATGAATAAACCATTTGCGGCATCGATAGCTCTGCATCATGGTTTACTTCATGGACCATTTGCTTCCAATTTCTTCTCTTCTTGCCCCGTTTTCCTTGCTTCTTTCTTCCCCCCTCCCTCTCTCACTTTCAACACACTCTTCCTTTTTTTTCCCCCCTTTTTTCCCCCCCTTTTTTTTCCTCTCTTCCCTTTAAAGATGACATTGCAGGACTAGCCCCCCTGCGGGGAGGGATAAATAGAAGGCATTGATACACTGCAACAAACTATTTGTCATTTGAACTGTGCTTTTAGGAGAGAGAATAAAAAGAGGACAGACTCACACCGTAATGATGGAATGCAAGCCAAATGTCACTTTTATTTCTATTTAGTTATTTTATTTAATAGGGGTTTTCATAGTTGGCTCGGAAAATTGGAAACTACCTGACTTTGACTTCCAATGTTTAGTAAAGAGTTTTTAATACTTTCCGGTATTTTTTCTCCCACCCCCCTCCACCTTTTCCTTTTGAACTCAAAGTTTTTCATCATCTCTCACAGGTTCATCTAGTTAATAAGTGTGATCAGGGCTAGGAAAGGGCAGACGATGTAAAATTGAAATCCACAGCCCGTGAAATCTGTGCGTGGGGGCACGAGGGAGATGCGCCTGCCTGCCAGCGCCTGTCCCTTAGAACGAGGGAAAGGGACAAAAATGACATTAAATGGGAACTGAGGAGGGGTTTGCTGCAGTGAGTGCTTGGGTAGCTCTGTCTGTATTCCCAGGATTTGGCTGGGGTTGCTGTTGGGATGTGCACCCCAAGGTTTGGGGTGAGGCGAGGGGTCCCCCGCACTCTGGAGGGTGGGATGGGGTTCCCTTGCAGCTGTGTGGGGTTCCCTCAGGTGCTGGCAGTGGTTCAGCAAATATAATTACATTTGGACCAAAATAAATGGAAGTTTTCACTAAAATTCTTGTTGCCTGTCTGGAAAAAATTTAGATTAAAACTTCTGCTGTAGAGAAATTACTTTTCAATTTTAAAAGCTTATTTTTTTTTTCAAAGCAATCACTTGGTTGTATTACTATGGGGCTTTTTTCCCTAACTTGCTTTATACCTTATCATTTTTTAACTTACTGGAATGCAAGAGAAGGGAGGAAAAGGAACGTTTAAAGGCCCTTTCCATCCCAAACTATTCTATAATTTGATTAAGTGAGCAGAAGAACTGTGCTTGAAAAAGGAAAAGAGGAACAGGGTGAGCATGGGCCAGGCATTGGATGGGTGGGTGGGTGCAGGCAGGGCCCCCTTAGCCAGAGACACACAGAGCTCCAGCTCTGTCCAGCTGGGTTTAGTGGGGATACCAGTTTGCCACCTTAAAAAAAAAAAAAAAGCGCTTGACTCTCCATGGTACTGCAGTGCCCTGGGTGCTCTGTGCCTCCATTCCCCCTCCACCTCCTGGAGCTGTGGCTTGGTGGGGAGTCCCTCTGGAGGCAGGAGTTTACAAACACAGATCTGAAAGTATTTTGGGGTCAGCCTGTGCAGTCGCATCATGGGTGAGTGCTGAGGGGCCATGTGAAATTGCAAAGCATTTGTTCTCCGGGACGGAAAGCTTTTTTATATTACATTTCCCGCCCCCCCACTCCCCACCCCCCCGCTTCTTCTGGCACGCACTTCAATTGCAGCAATTCACCATCGGCACCCGGGCCTCTGCTGGCCTGGCTCTGATGGAGATAAGATGCCTCTTCCCTATAAATCTCAGAAAAAAAAATATACATAAAGGTTGATGTGCTCTGAAATGGGTTTTTGCTTTGCTGCTCTATTTTCCCCCGTGTGTATTAACCCCGGGGACACCATGAAAGAGCCGGTGTGCCGGGAGCACCTGCTGGGGTCAGGCCTCCTCATCAGTTTTTTCGGTCAGTGCCGAATAAGCCCGGCCGCGGTGCGGGGACGTGCGGGCGCCGCTCGCCGCCAGCATCCTGCTTTTCCCTGCCTGACTTGCTTCTCCTCAGCCATCCCGCCTCCAGCTGTGGGGGCGTTGGAGGAAAAGATGAGATCAAGTTGAGGGGAAAAATTGGCTGATTCTGCCAACCCCTTTGTTCCCGGGGCCTCCGGTAAGCGCCGGCGCTGTGCTGGTCCTGAGCTTTGGGATGGGGGATGCACCCCTGGAATGGGGGATGTGCTTTGGGATGGGGAATGTGTTTTGGGATGGGGGATGCACCCCTGGGAGGGGGAATTGCTTTGGGATAGGGGATGCCCTCCTGAGAGTGGAATGTGCTTTGGGATGGGGAATGTGTTTTGGGATGGGGGATGCACCCCTGAGAGTGGAATGTGCTTTGGGATGGGGGATGCCCCCCTGAGAGTGGAATGTGCTTTGGGATGGGGTATGCACTCTGGGTTGGGGCTGCCAGCAGTGTTGGCCATGGCAATGCCACTGACTGTCCCTCTTCTCTCCCTCTCCCTGCAGAACCAGGCTCCTCCCGGGCTCTACACCAAGACCTGTGATCCGGTCAATGCTCCCGACACCCCAGATGTGCTGGAGATCAAGTTTGAGAGGGGTAAGAGCCTCTGTGCTCCCAGGCCCTCGTCCCTGGGTCCCCAAGCCCCACTTCCCAGCTGGGACTGGGCTTCTCTGGCAGCTGGGAGCACCCCCAGGCTGGGGGCAGATGGGTGGCCCTGACTCGTGACACTGGGGCTGAGGATGGTGCCTGCAGCACACCAGGGCTCCTTCAGGTGTGCAGAGGGTCTGCTCAGATCTCAGGGGCTTTCTGGGACCCCCCCGAGAGTGGGAAGGGGTCTGAGCCCCCTCACCTGCCACCAGGTCACAGTGGGCACAAAGTCCCCTCCCTTGCAGGTGGCTCTGAGGGCATGCAGGTGACACTGGCCAGGTAACAACTGGGGAGCTGCTCAGCAGGGTTTGGCTGGTGATGCTGTCATGAAGGACGCAGGGATGCTCCATTGCATCCCTGGGGACACTGCAGGGCCCAGCCCCGAGCCAGCATGAGCAGAGGACACTGAGCAGCATCTCCACCTCTGCCAGCCACGGCCATCCTCGTGCCACCATCCATCCTGGCAGCAGTGGTGAGCCCAGCACAGGCTGTGGGGAGACCCTGCTGGGAGGGGACACCCCCTCCCCACCGCCAGCCTCCCTGCTCCTTTATAACGATCCCCCTGCAAGGAGCAGCCCCCCTCCCGGCAGCCCATTCAGCCCCTAGTTAATTTATTTGAAGTTTTAATCTAATTATTAACTATTTCAAAGGCTAAGCAGCTTTCAGCAACAACAGCCCCGACAACGTCGGCTCTTCGCCGAGCGGACCCCGGCCAATATCCCGGTGGAGGATGAGGAGAGAAAGAGCCGGGGCGAGGGGAGGGCGCGGGGTGGGGGGGCCCACGCCGAGAAGCAGCTTAAGGTTCATTATTGCCGCGAGTTTACATTTAATAGCAATTTACAACTGAGTTTATAAACCCCTGGAAAATAGGGGGTTTAAGGGGGGGGCAGTGGGGGGGAGCTGACAGCCCCCATCACTAGGCAGGGCTCTTGCGGGCGCCTATATAATAAAGACTAGAAAGGGAGGCATTGAGGCTGATTGGCAACTGATAGTGCGTTAAATGGTAATGAGGAGGGCAGATGGAGGGGGGATTAGCCTCCAACTCCGCACCGCTTTTCTTTGTGGGCTCCGCAGCCCCCTTGTCAGCTTCCTAATACATTTATTGCTCATTTCACACCGCTGAAGAAAAATGCCTCTTTCTATTCAGCATCCCCCCCAACCACCACCACCACCCCGCTCTGCTTTGCTCCTGCCCGGTGCCCTTAAAAAAAGGGGAAAAAACCCCAAAAAAATTAAGGGGGGGAAAGAAAGAAAAGGTGCAATAATTAATTCATGGCGGGGAGCACCCCGCCGCGGGGTGCGTGTGCGTGCGTGTGCGAGCAGCCGTGCCCCGGTGTGGGGGTCCCCCCCAGACACCCCCCGTGCTGGTGAGGGGAGGAGGGGGGGGCACACATTTGTCACTCTGTCCCCCCTCCCCAGCAAGGGCTGGTGGGACAGAAGGTGCTGCGCTGTAAGACAATTGCGGAGCGTGAAATTCAATTAGTTAAGGGCCTGGTTGCAATTTCACAGGCCCTAAAAAAAAAGAGAGGGAGGAGAGAGAGGAAAAGAGGGGGGTGACGTTTTTATGGCCTTTTTTATTTATTTATTTCGCTACTCTCCCGAGGTGGGTCCCCCTCCCCTCGCCTCCCCCTCGCACCAGCTTGGATATGCCTTTTTAAGAAGTTATTTAGAGTTCATATCTGTCACATCTATTTAACGCCCACGGGATGATGTTCCGGGGGGATCCTGACACTGCCTGATCCTGCCCATCCTCTCTCCCCGCCTCTGCAGGTGTCCCAGTGAAGGTCACCAACACTGGGGACGGAGCCACTCGTTCCTCGGCCCTGGAGCTCTTTGTGTACCTGAACGACATCGCGTGAGTGCCACCCTGTCCGGCCAGCAGAGGGGACAAGGACCGCGTCCCCAGGGCACCCAGCTAGGGGTGGGGGCAGGATGCTCACAGCAGACACGTCCTGATGAGCCCAGGGATGGTGGCCAGTGGGTCCCAGTTGTGCCATAAATGCCAGCAAGCAGAGCTGGGCACCAAGGCCAGCAGCACGAGGGTATAAATACCTCAGGGCTTTGCTCACTGGGCACGAGGAGGATTAAAAAGTCCTCTGAGCATTCTCTGGGCTGCCCGTGTGCCCCAGCTGCCCTGCCCACTGCAGAGCACCCTGTACTTCTTGTCCCAGCTCAGTCCTGGACCCCCTCTTCTCACATCTTGCATTGCCCCTTCTCCCGGAGAGGGCTCAGTGTTCTTTTTGTGTGGAGACTTGACTTTTTTGGGGAATGGAGACCTGCTGGCCAGGTTCATTGCCCTTTTCTATTCCTGTCTCCACAGCAGCAGCTCCTTTGGGGTTTTCTTTCCATGTGCCACCCCATGCCCAATTTCTGCTGCTGCTGGCACAGAACCATCCTCAGGAGTTTGCCCAAAAATACAGCAGCACCCATGAGGGCACCCACCCCTCCTAAGTGCCACCTAGTCCCTGGCCATCTTCCTCTGTGCCTTTATCCTCCTGGTGGTGAATGGCAATGAACTTCTCCACTTTGTTCACTTTTTAAATGGTTAATAAGTGGTTTTACAACTACTTTGGGAATGCAGCTGTGCCATGTCCTGTCTCCTTGTCCAGTTTATTTCCCAGTGGCCAAAGTGCCACGGCTGCCAGTGGCCCCACTGACAAGTGAGAGACGGGTGGAGAGAAAAATCCATTTCCTTGTCACCTGCTTTGTCCTTGTCCCTGCTGTTGGTCAGCAGTGCTGCCCAGAGGCTGGCCTGCTGTCATTTGGGGTTTTTCCCCATTGTCCATCCCTCTGACCCACCTGTGTCCCACAGTGGGGCTGGGACTGCTGCAACCTCCCTTCTGCTCACAGGGGCAAGCACGGGGTTGGGCGCATCGACATCGTGGAGAACCGCTTCGTTGGGATGAAGTCCAGAGGTGAGCCTGCCCTGCCCTGGAAAGACAAAAAAATGGGAAAACCATGGTGGGTGCTCAGTAATCCTGGGTGCTCTGGTTCAGGTCACACCAGCAGCGCTCAGCCTTTCCCTCCCCATCAGATTTTGGCAGAGATTTCCCCAAGACAGGGGCTCCTTGTTGCTCTCTAATGGCAGCAGCTGCCACTGCTGGCACTGTCCCAGTGCCCCCAGGTGAGACCTGTCCCCACAGCAAACACACCAGGCTCTGGGCTTGTGTGGGGATATGCCCATGGAAGGTCCTGGATGGTGCCAGACTCTCCAATGCCTGTGCAAATCACAGGAAGCTGATGCAAATGACTTTTGATTTTTTTTTTTTTTAAAAGCAAATATTTGATTTATCCACACATTTTTTGAGTCCATGTCTCCTAATATTGATCTTCCATTGGGATCAATTTCATTGGAAACCTCTGGAGGCAGCAAGCTGCCCAGTGCAAAACTAAATAAGGAGGTGGCTCAGCATAATTTCCCAACTCCTTACTCCAACTCCTTTGTGTTAAATCTCATTAATACTTTATTAGATGCTTCCTTTCTTTAAACTTGCCCTCTGTGCAGGACAACAGCAAATATTTTGGTAAGACTAAGCCTGCAGTGTTCCTCCCCACCACAGAGCAAGAAACAAAACCCCAAATCATTTGATCTGAATTTGAATAATCAAATTAAAACCAAAAGAAGGAAGAAAAAACCACAACCCGCACACACCAGCCTGTGCATTTGCATTCAGGATGCTGAGTAATTTGTCAAAATCTACTTTATTTTTATAAGAGCCACTGACACGCTCTAGTGACCCTTCCAGCATTTAATAATTTCTCTAAACCCCATTTAACTGTCACGTCTGTCTCCCGTGTGACATTGCTGAGCGATCACTGCCGCGTTCCTGCGCTGGGGGACCGGGGGGTCTGCGGCAGCTCTGCAGGGATGAGACCCTGGGGTGGCTCCCCGTGGGGGTGAGGCCTTGGGGTAGCCTCCCCCCTTGCTTTGAGCAGGATCCTGCCCCTGGCTGGCTTTTTGGGATTAAGAGAAACCTCCCAAAATCTGCTCTGCCGGAGAGGGAGAGTGGGATGGGAGCAGGCCAGAACAGGAGGGGGCTGAGGACACCTGTTCTCTTCCAGGGTTTTGGAACTCAGGGTGACCCCAAATGGTTTTAGGATCAATGGTGCAGGAGATGGGAGCTGGGCTTGGAGGAGACAATCCTTAAAACCCCAGCAGTGTGGAGCTGCCCCGCAGATTTGGGGTTCCGCAGGGGAAACTGAGGCACAGGCAGCAGCATGGCCAGAGCCTTCTCTGTGGTGGAGGTGGCAGCGAAGGTGCTTCCTTTTCCTCATCTCCCAGCAAAGGTGCCTCCTTTTCCTCATCTCCCAGTCCCAGCAAGCCAGAGAAGAGGAAAAACTAATTTGCATTGATTTTTACTAAGCTCCTAATTGGACTTCGTTAAGGCCTAGTGGGCGAGGGGCGCAGGGAACTCACCCCAGCCTTTCCAGCCCTGTGAACTCGGAACTCACCCCAGCCTTTCCAGCCCTGTGAACTCAGAACTCACCCCAGCCTTTCCAGCCCTGTTAACTCGGGTGTGCCCTGTTTGTTTTAGTGGCAGGAGGGTGGCTAATTACGGGGTGCCAGGGTCGGGGGGCACGGCTCGGCCGGGGGCTGCGGCTGCACGGCGCTGCCTCTGCCTCCCGCTCGCGTCCTCATTATCAAATTATCTTTTTAACTCCGAAGGGGGGCTAGTTAAGTGAAGTAAATGAAATCAGTGGGGAGGAAGAGGGAAGGAGGGGGATGGCCGCTGCCAAAAGCCGAGCGCTGCTGGCTGCTGGGGCTTTTCCTCCCCTTGGCTCCCTCCTTTTTCCTCCTCTGGATGTGCTGAGCTGATGGAGGAGGAGAATGGAAAACCCCTTCCCTGCAACAAGCACATACCAGGCCAAACTCGGCCTCATGGCTCAGCCTCGTCTCTGGACCAGGGGTAGAAATTTGGGCAGCATTTTCCCGTGGGCACAGCATCACCCTGCCCTTCCCCTCGGGAAGGCACCACATCCCTTCCTGTCCCAGGGATGACGTCGGGAGTGACAGCCTGCACTCAGCACAGCAGAATTGCTCGGATGGAGGTGAAGTGACAGCCGAGGTTACAAATTAGAAAATTTTAAGTAGCGGCAGCTGTCTCCTTCACTGCCTCCCTCCCTGTCCCCCCTGCTCTATGTCCCCCCTTCCTTAGCAGTAATTATGGGGTGATTGAAGCATCGTTGGGCTGCAGTGCTGACACCTCTGTCTTTTTCCTGTAAACATGGGGAGAGGAAAATAGACACTTGGAGATGGTGCGAGTGTCACTTTGAAGGTGTCTCTTGTCTCCTCGGCAGTGGCAAGGCTGGAGAGTGGCTGTCAGCTGCCCTCCCCTCTGTCCCAGCTGATGCTCTGGTCCTGTCTCCCAGCACCCCCAGATGGGTAGGATGTGGGGGTCAAGGCATGTACCCAAACCTTCAGCCCAAACCGGCTTTAACAGCCTCTAAGGGAAAGAAGAGGGAATATTAATTGTAATTGTATTGTGTGTTTTAGTGGTGGGCTCAGCTCCACAGTCAGGGCTGGAGGGGACAATGAGTAGCTCCCTGTGCCCCTGTCACTGCTGTGCCCGTGGAGACAGCTGGGGTTTGGTGTAAATTTGGCTGTCTGCTCCCACATCCTGAGGGAATGGATGTTTGGTGAACACCTAGCTGCCCCAGGGGCTGCACTGCACCATCACTGAGGTGACTGGAGAGGAGGGGTTGGCTCTCCTTTGAGACATCAGACTGTGGTCTGTGCCTGTAGGATGCTGAAATCATGGGCACTGCTTGGGATGAGGTCTGATGGAAGAGCCTTGGGCTGCTGTCCTTGTGGCTCCTGTTGTGTCTGTGGGACTGTGGCCACGCTGACACAGGACATGCTGAGCCTGTGCCACTCTCCAGGGCACTGAGTGAAGTTCTGAGCCCTGTGGGCTCCCCTCAGCCTCTCTTGGGGCTGGTTTGGGATCACATCCCCTTCAGTGGGGACTTTGTGCCCTTTGCCATTCCCATGACTGCACCACAGCAGATGCCCAGCGTTGGGAAGGGACCATCCCTGTAGGCAGGGGACAGGGACATGCTGGTGGAGCAGCCCTGGCTGTGGACAGCTCAACAGCCTTTCCCATCACATATCCACTGCCAAACCAGCTCAGCATTTCCCCACGATATTTCCTGACGATATTTCCCCCTGCATCCACCACGGACAGGAGAACCGCATGACCACACTCTTATTTAAACACCAAATAACCACACCATGCACAAAACAAGCCTTGAACGGCTAGAACAAAGGAGCAGCTCGCCAAAATAATTCAACATCCTCCATCCCCAGGCCTTGTGCAATGGGGGGGCAGCAGGAAGGGACTGGGGGGGCTCTGCCAGCCCCAGAGGAGGTTGCCCTGGCAGCCCCCAGGTAGCCTCGCTGCCTCGCAGGGAGAGGAGGGCTCTGCGGGCCCTGCGCTCCCCATGCCTGTGCCCCGCTCGTTCTGCTAATTACAGGTTTTCAGCTGCAGACCGTTGGGCACGGATGGGTGGGGGGATCGGTTCCCAAACCCTGTCATTTAGCCTCGTCAGAGTGCCTCTTCAAAGAGGGGAATCTAGAAATTTTCTCCGCAAGGTGCGGAGTGGACTGTCTCGGCCCCAGCATGAATATAATGACAGATGCATTTTACAGCGAGCTGAGACTGAATGCGCTCGACCACGGCTCCTTCTGTCAGCCAAGTCATTATTTTTTGTCATTTGCTGACAGTTTTGGTCTCATTCGTTTCTCTCTCTTTTTCTGCTTTTCCCCCTGCCTGGAAAAATGGCTAGGTATCTATGAGACCCCAGCAGGAACGATCCTATACCACGCGCATTTAGATATCGAGGCCTTCACCATGGACCGGGAAGTGAGGAAAATCAAGCAGGGGCTCTCCTTGAAATTCTCAGAGCTGGTGTACAACGGTAGGTGCAGTCCAGTCCTGCCACAGCAGCATCTTCCCAGCCTTCCTCCCCATCCTCCCTCCTTGCTGCTGAAGCTTACAGGTCACATTGGTTGTGAAATTGAGGTGTGGGTTTTGAGGCTGCTCCTGGGGAGAAATGTGGGTTTGGGCTGAGCAAAACCCCACACTGTGCCTGCTTTCCTGCCCAGGAAGCTCCGTGCCTGCCTTTGGGAGGCCATGCCATATTCCACGAGGGCTTGCTCATGGCATCTCTCCCAGCCCAGTGCCACCACTTCATCCCAACCAGCACATTTGGATGTAATTCACCATCCTTTTGCCCCCTCTTGTGTCACCTTTCCCCAGCTCTCACCTCCAACCCCTTCCACCTCTGCCTTAGCCTCATGCACACTGTGATAGCGGGCACCCAAACTCTAAACTTCAAACCCTGCCACGGCATTTGGAGCTGGAGAGCTGTCCCTGTGCCCTGGCAGTGTGGCACAGGGGACTCTGGGGGGATGGAGGGTCCTGGCTGTGCTATGTGGTGCACAGCCCACACAGGGGCACTGCGGGTTGGGGCTCTGCTCTGGGACAGGCCAGCTCTGCCTGGAGAGGGCTGGGAGCCATGAGGAATGAGCGATAGTGGCTCACCCTGGCAGTGAAGCAAAGCACTGAAGCCCTGTGTCCTTCCTCCTGTGCAGCATCCACAGCCCCAGACCGTGAGTTGAGTTTGAGGGGTCTCAGCTCAGCGTTTCCCCTGTGCCACAGGAACAGCTCCCTGGCCTGGCACCCTGGGGGGAGAACCAGCACTGCCCTGGGGGCTGCTCCACAGATCCACCCCGACCCAGGCTCTGAAGGAAGTAGGATTAGCCCAAAATGCCCTAAGCAGGCTCAAAGCCTCACTGGCCACACCTGGGTGCTCGGCTCAGTGGCCCCACACCAGGAGATTCCTGCCCCATGGCCAAACATTTGTCATTCACAGGCCTTGATTTCTCAGCCTCCCAGCATCTCCTCCCATCACTTTTCAGGTGTCTCTAACCACAAAGGCTGGGATGATTCCTGTGGGGTCTTCCATGGGGAGATACCATGAAATAACCTGGTTCTGGGAGCTCAGGCTTTGGGCAGCAGCAGATCAGTAGGACTGGGTCAGGCTTTTCTCCCCTGCAGTTTCTGGTGCCAGTGCTTGTCACCTTCCCCTCCAAGGACATTCCCTCTTGAATCTTCCTCAGCAACTGGCATTTAATGCCTGAGCCCCTTTGCTGCTTAAATCACATTTTAGGGCCCTGTCAGGGGCTAGGGGAGCCTTTGTCACCTTCCTCTTGGATCACAGCCCGTGCCCTCATTCATTCTGTAGTGCCACTCTTGCCTCTGGCCATTTTTATTAGATTTTGATCTGGCCTGCCTTTCCTTTGACTATTTTTTTTTTTTTTGGTAGTTCAGGCATAAACCTGTTTGTCAGTTTATTCCTAACCACTGGCTTGTTGTGCAGCCGCCAGGTTAAAAAGCCACTCAGGGAATCATGGTTTCAATTCTCCCTCCCCACATCTGCCAGGCAGAGGCTGCTGTTTCCTTGACTCCACGTGTTGAATCCCCAGGGATTCCCAGCTTGGTCCTAGACTTCCCAGCCAGCCAATCCTGAATCCCAGGAACAACCCCAGCAGGGTGCAATGAGCACCCGTGGGTCCCCGTGCCGGAGGCCAGGCTTTCAAGCTCACCTTCCTTTAACACCTCGTTATCGCAGCTAGTCCCGTTTTTAGGAGAATTAGTGTTTATCTTCCCCCTGTTCCTATTGATCCCATTGTGGAGGGGTGGCTTTGAAGCCAGTTCCCGTCCTTTCCAGGTGCGGAAATGCCATTGTCCCCCTGCCTGCGCCGTGATTAGGGCAGGATGGTGGGAAGGTCATTAAGGGGGATCGCTTCCAGTGTCTGCAGTGGGGGGTCGGGAGGGGGGGATGCTTCTTCCCACCTGGAGCTGTCAGAGTCAGGATTTAAGCAGCTGGTTATTATTTTAGTGTGTCTGGGGTTTATTTTTACAGGGATTTTTACATCAATGCTGCTATTTGAAGAGTTGTACTTGGAGGGTGGGTACCAAAAAAAGGAGTGTATTTGCCTGGAGCCGGGGTTCCTACTGGCATGGCAGTGCTGATTTTAGGGAAGGGGTCCCTAAGCCCTCCGGCCATGCCTGGGTGGAGCAGCTGAGGGGGGTCAGTTCGGGGTTTGGTGGTGAGGGGCTGCAGGACCATGGTGCTGTGCCTTGGGCAGGGCCACACAGACCCCGGGGACAAGGCTGCAGGATAGGGCCCTGCTCAGGGACTGCTGAGGCCAAACAACAAAAGAAATTATTTGTTTCTTTAATGGCTTCGGCCCCGGAGCCCAGCTGGGAAGGGAAAGGTGAGAGGGCACCGGTGAGAGATGGGAGAGATAAAGCCGGGGCATGACTGGAGGGCGGTGAATGGGCTCTTTCTTTCTCCACCTCTATCTCCTTCTACATCTCCCAGGCTTTATTCCGGGTCTCCCAGGACTCCCTGGCTAATAACCCTGCTTAGGGACAGGAGGGGCGTGGGGGTGGCAGGCAGGGCCACGGCCCCTCCATGCACCTGCAGTGCCACCAGCCGCTCCCCCAGGATGTGTTTTGGGGGCTGGGGTGTGACTGCACATCACACCAACACCCAGCCTGGGCTTCAGCTCAGGGCATTTGGGCTGCCAGGGGCTGCTGTTCCCACTGGAGCCAGGGCAGGAGGAGGCTGGTTGGGGTTGGATGGCGTTTTCTGGGGTGCCAGCACTGTGTCCCTCCTGTGTCCCTCCTGGAGCTGTGACAAGAGTGGGGACAAGTCAGACCTCCCCACAAGAGGCAGCAGGGACAAACCTCGCTGACCTTGGGGGGCTGGGAAGGTGGAGAGCCCACCTGGGGCTGCTGAGAGTCCTGTGCCTCAAAGCACAGCCCAGGCTGTGTGAGCTGGAGGGAACACTCTGCTCTGCGTCCCTCTGGGATGGGGAATGGGAACTGCTGGGATGACTGCCCCACTGGAACCCAGATTGCTGAGGGGCTTTCCCTTCCCAGAGCTGATGGGGTGAAGTATTCCTGAGGGGCTGCGTCCCCCTGAGCATAGTCCACAGGCTGGGGTTGGCTCTTTGGCCAGACCCCTGCTCTGTTCCTCCCAGGGGAGAATGGCTCATCCCCTTCTTGGGGGATGGGAGCTGATCCCCCCATAGTTTCTGTGTCCATCTGTCTGTCTCCACCTGGCCTTCCCAAGTAGGTGGTGTTTGAGTGGCAATTTCATACCTACTTAACAAATCTTTTCATTTGCATGATCACCCCTGTCCAGCAGAGCTGGAACAAGGATGGTTCCATGGCCTATTTCTAGTTTGTTCCATCCTCTTCTCCCATCCTGAGGGCCACCAAGGAGAAGGGTAACACCTGAGCTCTCCATCCCTCATGGCTCAGCCTGTGTGTCCCAGCACCTCATTTCCTCACCCAGTCCTGCAGTTGCATCCCTTCCCTTGGAAATTACCCAGGCTGTGCCTTGTAAGGCTTAGCCTGGGGACCACCCTAGGCTGCTCTGAGGTACCACCAGGGGTCCCAGGTCCCTCTAGCCATCCCCAAGCCCCTTGCTGATCCCGTCTCCTGTCCTCAGGCTTCTGGCACAGCCCTGAGTGTGAGTTCCTGCGGGAGTGCATCGGGCGCTCGCAGGAGCCCGTGCTGGGCACCGTGCGCCTCTCTGTCTTCAAGGGCCAGGTCTACATCCTGGGCAGGGAGTCCCCACGGTCCCTCTACAACGAGGAGCTGGTCAGGTGAGTGGGGCTGGGGAGGGCAAGGTGGTGACAGTGAGCATCCCATCCCATCCCATCCTCATCTGCATCTCTATCCCCATCCCACCCCACCTCATCCTCATCTGCATCTCTATCCCCATCCCCATCCCATCCCACCCTCATCTGCATCTCTATCCCCATCCCATCCCACTCCTAGTGGCACAGGTGACACCATGGGCCCAGCCCAGCATCCGGCCAAAGCATGAGCCATGTTTCAAGTCAATATTGGATTTTTCCCCCCTCTGGCTTTTCCCTTTTTCTTCGTGTTGTTTTCTCGCTTGCTCTCTCCCCCCTTCAGCCCTCCCTCAACTCCTTTCAATCTCTCTAAACACTTTATAAGCCATAAATACACCCGAATGAGTTTAGATCAGTCGGAGTCAAATTATCTTCTCTTTCTCTTCTCCGGCTTTTTTTTCCCCTCTTCCCTCCCCCTCAAAATCAACAGCTCCTAATAATCCGTCCCAACCCTTCATTATGCTTTGCACTCTCACTTGGAGAGATTAAATGAATAAAGTATTAAAAAAAAAAAAAAGAAAAAAAAAAAGAGGGAAGAAAAAAAAGGAGGATGGAGGGGGGTGGGACGGAGGAAAAAGAGAGAGGGAGAGAAAAGCAGGGGCACTTATTCTCCCTGCGTCTCCAACCATTTTCCTTTTCTTTTTGATTTCTACATCGCTGGTTTGAAAGCCTTTGAGTGACGGCGTCACAGGAACCCGAGAGAAAGCTGTGAGAGGCAGAGCTGTGTGGAAATGCCTCTGCACAGTAGGTAGAAAGTAACGTAATTATAGAGCAGGTCAGAACCACTCGAATGAGCAAAAATAAAAGCACAGAGGTTTTTCTGTAGCCCGTCAGGGGAGGTAAAATCGTTGTAAACTCTTTTTTTTTTATTATATTTTCTTCTTTATTTCCCTCCACTTCCTCCTTTAAGGTTTGTGGTTTCTGGGAAATGAGCCGTGTGTTTTGGGGATGTAGGAAACTGTTGGAGCTGGGATTCAGTGGGTGGCTGCTGCCTTGGGGAAGGGGATGTGCTCAGTGTTGCACCGAGGAATTGGCTGCCAGGTCCAAAAACCCCCACACCAGAGTGGGGCTGTCCCTGCCTGGAGTCTGTCCGGGCCTGGGGCAGTGTCTCCTGCCAGGATCCCGTCCCTTTTCTAGAGCCACACCTGTAGGATTACTCTGGGAGAGGGTGAACCTCCCTGGGCACTACCAGGTGATGATGCAGGTGAGGGACCAAGGAGGGAATTTTGGGGCTGTGTCTCTGGCAGGGCCTGTGGAACCTGGGCATGTCCCCCTTCCCCAGGGGCTGGCAGGGACCCTGACCTGAGCCCCCTGCAGCCCCCAGAGGATGAGGAGGCAGCAGTAGCGGAGAGCAGCCAGGTCTGGGGTCCCCCACATCTTCTCCCTTCCCAAAGGGCAGCCCTGATTCCCCTGGGAATCCCGTGGCAGTGACAGTGCCTTTCTCCCTGCAGCATGAACGTGCAAGGGGACTACGAGCCCGCCGACGCCACCGGTTTCATCAACATCAACTCCCTCAGGTCTGTGGGGTCCAGTGGGACCCTCCCCCAGCACCCCGGGGCTCCCCCCTCTCCTCACTCAGGCTCTGAGGGTGAACCAAGCAAGCTCTCCCTGAACAGTGGGGTGCCACCAGCCCCGCCAGTACCAGCCCTGCTTAATTGCAGCCTTCCCCAGCACAGCCAGCCTCGTTATTTTACTTATTTCTCTGACCCCTCCCAACTCCAGGGCTGTAAAACACGCCACATTTACATAATGGGTTCTTAATTTTTCCTTTGCCTGTTAACTGCTTTGTTCTTCCCGATCCTCCGTGTCCCCCCGACTCCTCGAAGATTAATTACATTATCTCGTGGGGGAAAAAAAAAAAATAATTAAACTGTACAGGCCTTAACAAACGCCTGCTCTTCACGCCCCCTCATTCTGCTTAAATTAATTGAAAGGAAATGTGTGTTCTTACTGTTAATTTACAATTAATTTTTTTTTTTCAAATCCCGGGTTCCAGGCTGAAGGAATATCATCGTCTCCAGAGCAAGGTCACCGTAAAGCAGGATGAATAGCAATCAATCGCACGCGAGCCTCCCGCTCCCCTTTCTAATTTCTCCAAGAAGTAGCGCTAATTGTGGTGGCAATTTGTAATTGTAACTCGTCTCCCTGGAGCGGAGCGGCTGCGGAGGTGACGGCTTTGTTACGGGGCTGCAAGTGAAATGCAATCGGGGGTGGGGGGAAAAAAAAGAGGTTTGTCCATCGGAGGAGAAGTGGGGAAAGAAATAAACCCCAGCCAGGCGCGGGGTCCGGCATTGAGAGCCGGGTTTTATTCCTGCCTCGTTTGTGTGCTCCTGTGGCCCAGCGCTTCCCCCAGCCCAGCTTTGTGGAGTTGGGCATGGATTAAGTGGCTGAGAAGGATGAAGGATGTGGGGGGGTTGGTGGTACCTTGTGGGGAAGGTGGGGAGCAGGAAATACCTCTCAGGGAGGTATTTTAGGGGCTGCAGGGGTGAGCTGGGTGCTTGAGGATCAACAGGGCTTGATCCTTTCTGCAGCATTTTGGTGAGTTTTTAAAGAGCAGACTCGGGAAAGACAAAAATGCAGGGAATATCCTCTGGTGGTGCTGCAGGAGGTGAGGAGGAAAGGAGTGCTTGGTCCATGCTGGGCAGTGTGTCCCTCTCCCAGAGTGTCTGGAGGGCTGCATGTCCCTGTGATCCCGATGCTCACACCTGGCTGGGAGGCAGGGATGGCTCAGCGAGGGAAACCTGGAGCTGTGATGGAAGCAGAGGGAAAGGAAAGAGGAAAGGACTGGATTTCCTAGCCATGCAAACACTCAGTGCTGGCACTCAGCACTGCTGGGACTGGGGAAGGACATGGGTTGGGATGTCCCCACATTGGGTGTCCCCAGGACAGGAGCAGAGGTGCTCCCTGGAACTGGGGTGCTCCAACCACAGCCAGCAGGGAGCTGGGCAGCCCCAGCCCAGCAGCAGGAATGTGCTGCTTCCCAACGTGTTCGGGGAGCAAAAGCAGAGCTGCCACCAAAAAGGGGCACATTTTAGTAGCCCCTACAGAACAGTCAGGCCAAGTGGCCATTTGGGGATGTCCAGGCGTGCCCTGCCCACTCTGCTGCCAAGCCAGCAAGTGTGACAAGCTCTGACATCACAGCTGGGAAAATAACATGTTATTTTCCCAGCTTGGATGTGAATTTCCCTGCTATTACTGGCAGCGACCATCTTGGGAGGAGAAAGCAGCAGAGGGCTGTCAGGAGAGGGGAGAGAAAAGGTTTTCTGGGCTGGTGGAGTCTGTCCAACCCTGTGGGCTATGGGGAGGCGGGGATGCTCTGCAGGGCCACCCCATTCCCTTAATCCCACTGCTTTCAGCAGCAAGTCCGTGCTGCAAGAGCAGCTGCACGTGGGGTCCTGCATGAGCCCCAGTGGGGCTGGTGGCCAGCAGGTTGTGCTGAGCAGCCACCCTGGCTGGGTGCCCAGTGTGCAGCCCTTTTCACCCCACAGCAGCCCATTCTCAGGTGTGGGAAGGGTTTGGAACCCCATCAGGAGCCTTCTCCTGAGGAATCATCCACAAAACCATGGGAACAGAGCTGCTTCCCTTCCACACACCAGGGATGGATGTGGTGGCCCATGGGACAGCGAGTAGCCCTGGAAGCTGTGAGAGTTCTCTCCCATGCCTGTCCTTGACTGTGGTAGAGCACCCCATTGGAAAAGTGGAGTTTGAAACAACTTGGTGCAATGAGGAGCTGATATCTATTTTTTGGAGGGAAAACCCAGCAAAACAAAGTGTCTCAGCAGAAGCTTCTTGTGCCCCAAAGCTTGAGAAATGCTGGAAAAGCTCTGTGAGAGCTCATTGGGCCTGCTGGGTGCTTAAATCATCACCTGGAAAAAGCCATTTAACTCCCAGTCCTGGAATATCCTCCAGCACTCACACCAGAGCCCAGATCTGGGGGGACCCTGTCTCTCTGCACCACTGGAGTGTCCAGTGAGGTTTTTGGCTCAGGGCAGAGGATGCTCTACCATGGCAGCTCCAGCTCCTCAGGAAGCACAGGGATGCTCTTAGAGGCAGTGATGGACATGACACCTCAGCCTTGGAGGAGTATCACGTGTCAGCTTCCAGCTGCTGCTTCCAACTGGGCTGCAAGAGGATTGTGCTGGTAAGGCAGAGCTCAGTGCATTCAAAAAGCCAAGTCAAACGCAGTGTGAGTCTTGGAGAAGGGAAAAAAACTCTCAGAAATCATCATTTCAATGCATAGAGGACACCCACCAAAGTGCCTGTGCTTCCTGTTGGGGCTGCAGTGATAGGATGCTGCGAGACAGACACCACATTTAATTACCTTGCTGCCTTAGTTGCCATCAGCCTTTCCACTTCCCAAGATTTGGTGGTTTCTCAGTGTCCTTCCACCCCTTTGTGTCTCAGGGATGTGTTTCAGGGACTGGGACTGCCAGGAGGGAAAAGCAGTGGGCGAGGAGCACTTTGTGAGCACCTCCTGAACCACCTCGAACTCCCCAGCAGAGAGGTTTTTGGGGGAATATTTTGGCCTTTAAGGTGACAAAACTGTTTCTGCAGCACCCACCTGGCTCTGAGGGCAGTGAAGCTGGGCTGGGGGCTCCCCATTCCCAGGACAGAGCTGCACTGGAAAGAGCCCTGAGAAAGGACCTGGGTCCCTGCTGGTCTTTGAAGCTCTTCTGTGCATCCCCCACAGCATCACCCATCACTCCAGCTCCGAGGCAGCCCCTTGCCACCCCTGAGGATGCCTTTGGGAAAGTGCAGCCCCTCTTTGCCCCCCGGGTTCTGCCATGGGGCTGCTCTGCTGCCCTCCCAGGCTCTGGTGAGGGGCTTGGCCGGGGTCACTGCAATCGATATCTCATCTGCAGGCTCTCCTAGCGGAAGTGATGGTATATTGGAACATGGTAATGGGTCTTGTCTAGTGGAAAAGGCTAATCTTCCCCAGCTGTACAGGATCTCTGCAGGTGTCCTCTGGCTCTCCCTGCTGCCACCAGCCCTGCCAAGGAGCAGACACACTTCTTTAAAGCTGTAGCACTCCAATTTACTGCTGTCCTGGGGAGGGAGAGCTGCCTCCAGCCTGGCTCCATGGGGCACAGGGCTGTGGCTGGGGCTTCCCAGTGAAGAGCTGGCACCCCCAGTGTCACCACACAGCTTCTCACATATGCTGTGCCAAAGAAGAGAAGGTGATGTGTTCTCCAGAGGTGGCAGCTCCCCAGGGAGAAGAGGAGAAGGATGTGGGGATGATGCCAGGAGAGATGTGGACCCCCAAAGTGCCACCTGCACACATGGGAGGGAGGCAGGGAAGAACAAGCATAGCAGCTTCTTGCTGTTAATTTGGCTTCTTTGGCATCACACTTGCTGCTTGGTGGGACTCCCCACCTGGAACTTGTCCTGTTTTGCCCATCCTTCAGGATTGCTGTAGAGCCAGGTCTTCCATTCCCCTTGTGCATCACACCCAGATGGGCTCTGGGCCTGGGGGTTCTGTTTTTTGAAGCTGACCAGCTATCCCTGGCTATCACATCCTGCTGGATACCAGTGGCATAATCCATTTTCCCATTTCCCTGAAGGCAGAGGTAATTACCAGGTGTGAGGTTTAATATGCATGTGGATTTGAGCATGAACTGCCAAGAACAGCTCAGAACAATGCACAGGTGTGTGCAGCACATCCAGGGGCTCAGACATGGCCAAGGTGTGTGGAGCCCCCAGATGTGGGCTGTAAAATGAGGAGCCCAAGGGCTTGGTGGGGGCCCATCAGAGGCTGAGTGACCATCAGAGCCCACAAAAGTCATGCCAAAGGTTGTGGTAGCCTTGTTGGGGCAGGGATTTTTTTCTGCAAAAGACAGTAAGGATAGATGGATTTTAAGAGAAAATGCCTGGAGAGATAGAGCCGCTGTGGGGCTGCTGGGTTTTTGCTTAAAATTTATTTTGTTGGGCAAAGAAATGCATCACTGGGTCCATTGCAAGGGGAAAAAAAACATGATATTTTGCAGGAGGGAAGCAGTGTGTGGTTGTGCCCTGTGGGACTGTGTCCATATCACATCCCTTCCTGGGGCTCCATCTCCCATCTGTGGGGTGTGTAGGAGGGGACCCTGGACCACCTCTCCCAAAGGAGAGACAGAAAACCCTCTCGTGCTGCCCAGTATCACAGCATTTTGTGCAGATGGATGACGTCCCCTCAAGCAGGGACGCTGGTAGCGACGGAGCACTCTTGGGAAAACCACAGGATTCCCCACAATGAGTGGTTGGTTCCCATTTTCCTGTGGAGATGTGGCTTCCAGTGGTTCATGGGAGCGCAGAAGGCGCCCTGGGCTCCGCGCACGGGTCACAGGGCTGCAGCACAGCACGGCTGTTAAGTGTTCCCATCCTTCCAGGGCAAAGCCATCCCCCCGGTGAGGTTGGGAGTCACTAGTCCTGAGCTTCCCAGGCAAGGGGGAGATGGTTGCCTTTGTAAAGCCCATAACAAGGTGGCTTTGTCTCCCCGTTTAACAAGAAGCTCCCTCGCTCCTTCCCCGGGAGTTTCCCAACGCCGGGTCCCTGAAAGCCAGCTTTATGCTCCGGCTGGGACACGCTGCTGTGGGGCCGGATCAGAGGGACACAGGGGCCCTTCTGCACGCCCCTGACAAAGGCTGCCCCGGGGGGACAGAGCGTCAAAGCTCAGCCGGCTCAGGGAGGGACAAGGGACCCACAGAGGAGGCTGCGCTCCGAGCCCTCCGTCCATCTGGTCACTCGATCGTGGCAGGCAATGACCCAGCGATGCTCAGGGAGGGCCAGGGGCTCCTTCTGCTCTGTCCCCCCGGAGAGGGGGCAGGGGCAGTGGCTGGGAAGGGACAGGTAGGTTTTGTTGGCCGCAGGTAACAGGATCCGCAGCCGTTGGTGCCTTCCTGCCCTCTGCTCTGGCTTCGGCGGGGGGTGGGATGTGGGAGCGAGGAGATGAGGGCTGGAAACCGAGACCTCCACTCAGCAGGGATGCTTCTCCTCATCTGGAAATGGGGTTGGAGCAAGCCTCGAGGTGTCTCAGCTCCAGCACCCCGCAGCCCTCTGGGCTGAGCTGGGCCGGAGCAGCAGCAGGAAGGGACCACCAGGAGTGATCCTCGGCTGTGAGCAGAGGATCATGGCAGAGGCATCACCCATCCTCATGTCAGCGTCCAAGCTCCCCTCTCCCATTTCCTTTCTTTCCCTGGGGGTTTTGCTGGCCTCTGCTCAGTTTGGGAGCTCCTGCCCTTCCCTTGTCCCACCAGTAAGAGCCTTCTCTCACTCCCCCCTGCAGCCATCTG